TTTGGATTCGAGCTCTTGACTTAGACCTGATCAATGATGAATTTTGTTCGGTTTAAAAGTGTTTCAGTATTTTTTTTTAATACTATTTATATTTTATAAATTTAAATTTTTATTTTAAAAATTTATGTTTTTTAATTTTTTTAATCTTAAAAAATAAATTTTTAAAAATTTCAAATTTTTACTTTTTAAAAACTTTATTTTTACTCCTCAACTCTTTTCAAAACAATTTTTAAGTTTTTTTTTTCAATAAAAATTTAAATTTATAAATATGAATAGGATCAAAAAAAAATTAAAATACTTAAAAACTTCACCAAACATGCTCCAAATATAATTTTTCAGACAAGTCTCTCACGTTGGTGTCGTGGTGTAGTTGGTTATCACGTCAGTCTAACACACTGAAGGTCTCCGGTTCGAGTCCGGGCGACGCCATAGGTTTTTATACTCCAAAACCTGACATATTTTATTGGGAAAATTAGTTGTAGTCCATTGTAGACTCCTAACCAAAATATACCCCTTACTTCTCAAACACAATTCAGAATTTTACATTTTATTAAGTGAGTCATATGCAGTTATACACTGTTTATCTAAATGTATGTACGAGCAAGTATTTGTCAATAACCTTAAGAAATCTAGACTTCTAATGAATTTGGATTTAGAAAATCCTAAAAATATGACTTTTGTTTTGTTGAGGTATTTTAAAAAAAATCAATTTTCAAGAACTAGCATGTTTTTACTTTTTAGATGGGTTAATTTAACAAATCATCTATTAATTTTTATATTTTTTTTTCAATTTCATCTATTATTTTTAAATTTTTCTAATTTTATCTATTATATTTTATATTTATTTCAATTTCATCTAGTCTGTTATCTTTAACAAAAATGTCCATTATTTTTAATTGAAAGAGTCTTCTTATTCTATAAAAAAAATGTTTAATCCTCTAACTATGTTTTTTTTATCTTTTAGTCCTTAAATTTATATTCACTAGTAAAAATAATTTTTAATCTTATCTTATTAAATGTGTTCTTCATAAAACTATTTTACAAAACTGACTATATGCAGTATATTTTGTAAAATTATTTAAATACTCATAATTTTATTTCAATATTATTTTTTAATGAACATTTAAATAATTTTTCAGGATAGATTACATACAATTTGCCCTATAATTCATTGCTCAAGTTTATTTACAAATTTTAATTAATCTATCTCTATAAAATATTTCTTGAGTCATCATATTTTATTATGATTATAATATCATTTTTTCAAGACTTAAAACACTATTTTTTTCATTAAATCTAACAAAATTTTGTACTAATAGATTATTTTAAAATATTTTCAAAGTTTATAGACTATTTAAAAAAAATAAACTTTCTAAACTAAAATAAAATTAAACTTATAATTAATATATTAAAATTTGAATTAAGCCCTTTTTAGATAGAGCTTGTCCGCTTGGAAAGAAAGAAACCTCAATTTAAAAAAAAAAAATTCAGAGTCAATCAAAATAAGAAAGAAACTTCAATTATCCAAAGAACCTTCA